AAAGCAACTAATTAATCAAAGTGTTCGCAATTTGGAAAAATGATACAAATGAGATCAACGATATTATCTGTGTTCCATATTGCGAACATTTTGATCTTAATTGGCTTAATTTTTGTTCGCAATTAGGGCATAGCCAGAGCGACACAGTAAAATAGAATTGAATAGGGTTTATGCTGTAAATATAATAGAATATAAATTATGAATATAAACTCCATTCAATTTGTGAATATAATAGAATATAATAGAATTTTCTGTATAAAGAAAGTACTTTTCAAATTATAATTTCTTATCAATTTGTTACGCACTCAAAGCCATATTGATTCTACTTATTGACAATCATTTCCACTTTTTTCTTTAGCCCGACATTACACTCTGAAATCTCACCGGACATAATTTCCAAAGTGAGTAACAGCGCAAAGATCAGCTTTTTTCTAATTAAAATTTTACCTGTCTGAAATCAAATGATGTGAGATCGTAGAGAAAGATGTGCCCTACAAAACAGAAACGCAACATTACTCTTGAAAGACTAAATATATTGGAAAAAATCCGTTTTCTCTCGGTACACGGCGCCCAAAGCCAACGAACGACGAAATGCAAGAGCTATATCTCGTAAACTATAGAAGACAAAAGGTTGGCTTTTAGCACAGTAGTAGGTCTAGTGTAGATAAACAAAACAAAACAAAATTTAAAATTACTTCACAGCAAAAAAATTATCCTGTTTTTACATGTAGAAAGTGAAGGGTACAATGGCTATGCCATTTACTTATATAGATGAAAAACTCGGTGAGTTTCACAAAGTGAAAAACAAGTTAGTTTCCAACGAATTTAACACAGCGATAATATGTAGAACCATTTGAATAAATACCATTTGGGTCATTAAATGTCCACGTACTACCATTTGCTAGAAAATCATATCTATAATCATATTTTGAGTTTAAAAATTGACTTTCTTTCCCGGATGCCGGAACAGTCTTATAGGTATTATACCGTAACAGAACATAGTTTTGATTTGATATAAGATTCGATACGATAATTTTACCTTTAAGTATTTTTGGTTTTGCGCCTAGTGATATATTTGGTTCATCCCATGAATTAACATATAATTTAATTGGTAATGTTGAATGATCCTTATCTATTATACCTGTGATTGCTAAACCATATGTTACATCTCTAGGTATACATCCTCCTTCATATGGACCCACTTTACATGATTGTCTCGTACCCATCTCTGTGGCTAAACGTCTGTTAATTATTTGATTTTGAAATAAATTATGAAAATAAAGAACATCATTACCATCGTATACATTATTAATCTGATAATCAATTCCAATTACAGGCATAATATGATCATAATTCTTATCGCTTTCGCCATTTAAATAAACAGTCATAATACACGGATATTGTTTAATTAAATTTTGTTTTAACCAGACACAATATTGCTTATATTGGGGTTCTTTTTCTGTGTTATAATTCCATTCAATATAATTAAACAATAATGTACTTAACGTTCGTTCATCACTCCCAGTACCAACCAGTAATTCACCACCATTTATTTGACGTATGAGATTTTGTGATATCCATGAACCATAGTAAAGGGCTATAAATGTAGATGCAATACTCATAACCATGTGCAAAATATTGTCCTATATAAAATGACAGTCTACTCAACAGTTCTTACCTTAAGGACTTTTCGAAACTCTTTCTCTCCTCTTGAGATTGCAATTTTGAAAAATTGCGAAATAAGAAGTAAAAGACATTTTGTTCTAAAAATACGTAAATAACCAGAGTGAGCGATGTTCAAATTTTGAAATATTGAAAGGAAAAGGAATTAAAGTAGTTTTACTTTGCGACTTCAGAAAATTGTATTTATTTGGTTTAAGGCGCGCGTAATCCAAAAATCAAGTACTATTTTATTTTTAGCTTCTTTATATATGATTCGATAGAGAATTTGACGCTGATTACCAATATCGCCTTTTCAGCCTTTCCAATGCACGTTTACGCGTCGAAAAATTGAAAATACGGGAAGGGTCTTAAAATCCGAAAAACTTTTCCGTTTCGAAAAAAGTTGAATATTTTTTCTCCTTTTTATTTTGAAACTCTCAAACAGATTTTTTCTAATTCAGCGTTGAAAATTGAATTAGAAAATGTGTTTTTGATGCTTCCCATATGTAATGTCATTGCACGAAAAATTCATCTTCAAGGATATCTCCAAAGTAGAAACCTCGTCGGAAAAAAGATATCTAGTATTTTTTGGTAAAAGATAGAACGTTCATTCTTGTGCTATTCGATCGGTCTTTATTTGTACTACAAAAGTATGACTCGTTATTTTTGAAATTCCTCTCCATTGCTGAGAAATTTCACTTTTGCTAAATCAGGAGAGAAAAAATCGGAATCCTGCCCGTAGTTCTCAATTTTCTCCACCAGAACTCACTTTTTATGCAATAAAATTATCATATTTGAAGTCAGCGTCAAAAACAGAGTCGAATGATATATGATTTGAAAGTTTCCGTTGATTTTCATTTTTTTGGTGAAAATTTTGTGTTTTGTATTTTTGTTTTGTGTTTTTCGAAATTTACTGAGATACAAATCTCTGCTAAGACAGGTAATGTTTCATCCTTTTTTGTGATAAAACAACAAACTAACCAATTTCCTGTATTGATGTTTCACCACAATACCCATGTCCATCTCCCCACTGTTGTCTGGGTGGTATATCCATCAGTAATTTAGTTGACCTTGATACACCTGCGTCAAACATCAAAATAAATAAAAATATAAAATAAAATGCCATTCTTTGATTTCTGTCAGCACGAAAACAGAACAAGAAGTCACTTTAACAGTCGAGTGAGCTTGAGACACTTGTTATATACAGTATTTTAACTAATTATTAGTTTCTTGAGCTAGAATGATTATTTATCAATGTATGAATATGCAGCAACTTGCTGCATGTAATAACCACCCCCATAGTGCTGCCATGGTAAATAACTGCTTATTTTCTTGAGCTAGAATGATTATTTGTCAATGTAGCATGTTGCTACATATAATAAGTAATTATTTACCATGGCAGCGTTATTGGCATAATACAAAAATCCTTGTACAAATAGAGGTCGGCTGTATACTACTGGTATAAATACAGTGATACTGACCGTTAAGTAATTGTATAATCTCAATCCTAGTGCATAATATATGAAAGACCGTCAAAATTTACTTTTACAGTTTTCTGCAAAAGTGAAATTTGTTCGGTTCTGTCTTTTATGTGCACACAGACTGTATTTGTGTGTTACAGTTTGCTGGATATTCATACATTGATGAATAAGTTATAACCGTTAAACGATGGCATCGTGAGGAAGTGTCTAAATCAGAATCACCAACATTTCGAATACTAGATGTATTCGGATACTATCGCCAGCTAAAGTACTGCACATGAGAGAACTTCAAGTATTACTGGATGGGAAAAATATTGTATGAACTGATGATGTGGGTAGTGCAGACCGAAGCAGTGATAATGTGAATGGTAATATTGGTGAAAAAGTATAAATCCAGCACTCTGACCTATTGACTTGGATTATTGAAACTCGTGCTTGACAAGCATATTCAGATGTAGTGGTGGGATGAGTCACAATTGATTGAATAGAGATTTTTTTTTATGGTATTTGAAGTGTTTTCTCTGTTATATGAGAACAAAATAAGGAAGCAATGTCAATCTATAACTGCATAAGATATATGCAGTCTTTTATGCTCTATCCAATAGTATCAATTTCAATAAGCTAAGACGTTGCCCTTTTTTTGAAAATTCATTTTTTCTAGATTAGAGGCAAAAACGTCGGAATTCTGTCCGTAATTCTCAGTTTTCTCCATCGTCACTTAACTTCTGGACAATAAAAATATCATATTCGGAGTCAGGATAAACAACTGAGTCGATTGATATCTATTTCTATCTTATCTGACTACTTTAGACACAGGAATTTTTATTTTTAAAGCAAACGTGAAAATTATGTATATTAATTCTTTATAGTGCTTCTCTTTAACTCTCTCTCAATCTTCTTTTCTGTGTAAAACAACCCACTGCTTTCTTGTTGAGTATTCTAATATGTGATGCTTAAAATTAGTTTCTAAATTTCCTGTGTTCTTGAATAAATAACAATGAATAATATTTATATCAACAACAAAGGAGTGGGTTGTTTTGCACAAAAAAGAAGATTGAGAGAGAGCTGAAGAGAAGCTCAATAAAGAAGCACTGTAATGTAAAGAATAATATAAACTATTTATATGATTAAATAATTCAATAGAATTTTTAAATCAATATTGTCGTTCATTTCTACAAATTGCATAATGCGCAACAAAAATCACTACTACGTGGTATTTTGTATGTAATATTAATGTCCAACCAAAAACAAAAAATTGATTATTTAGAAACGTACAGTCGTTGCCAGCGAAAGCTAGTTAAGTCCAGACGATCATTTAGAAGAAAAAAAACTAGGCTTTTGGTTTTGCACTTTCAGCTCTGAATTAGTGCAAAAACTCTTTCGAACTTTAGAGATCTTCTGTAAAAATGCTATAGCTCCGTCAAGAAAGCTTGTCACAATAGCCCACTTGCAGAAAACCATCCTTAAATTCTGCGCTACAAACCCTGACATTTAAAAGAAAGAAGTGCAAAAGCAGAAGCTTAGTTTTTTTTGCTTCTAAATGATCTTCTGGACTTATCTAGTTTTCTCTGGCAACGACTGTAAGTTTCGAAATAATCAATTCTTTGTTGTTGGTTGCAGATTAATATTACATACAAAATGCCACGTAGAAGTGATTTTTATTGTGCATGAAGGGTAATATGTTAAAATTTTGTTGAGATTGGAGCTGTGCTAAAGTGTGCCCACTCTCTACAGTAAGGGGACACCTCCTATATCCTGATCGGAATATATATCCCGATCGGGATATAGCTATATCCCGATCAGGATATAGAAAAAAAGTAGTATCCCGATCGGGATATAAAACACGAAATTTCGTCGTAAAAACGATTAAGGGGAAAATGACGACGTTTTGGGGTAAAATTGACT